CTCTCGTCTCCTCTGAGGCTGGGACTGTAAATAATGTGCTCGTCTGTGCAGCCAAAGACAGAACAGTTAGCATGTTTTGCTCAAACTTTAGCCATGGCATTAGAGCTGGTACACCGTTGTCGCTTGCAAAATTAAAATGACGGCGCCGTGGGTGGAAATTTACAGATATAGGGGCAGTAATATTATAATGAGATCCCTTTGCAACGTCACTAGGGGAGCAAAATCAGCCGTGCTCGTTTTTTCAGAGTCTTGCAGAAAAATGCTTACCAAAACAAAGTTACTGGGTTAATCTTTTTTCACGTTTCCTTGGTTGGTAGATGCACTGGGGACCTGATTATAGCACTTAAAACCTGGAAAAGTCAGATTTTCATGATATGTCACCTTTAAAGCCCGTTGAAAATCTGTGGAATGGTTTGAAGACTGCAGTCCACAAATGCTCACCATCAAATTTAACTGAACTTGAGCAGTTCTGCAAAGAAGAGTGGGCAGTTAATGCAGTCTAGATGTGCAAAGTTAGTAGAGACAACATATCCCAGCAGAATAAAGGCTGTAATTAAACCAAAAGCTGATTCAACAAAATACTGACACTAGGGGGTTATCCTTTTTCCAACTCGGTGATTCTGTCTTTGATTTTTTTTTTGACATGTTGGTGTTATAGCTTTCACTTGGATGTTATAAGTTGCACTAAATACAGCTGGATAAAACAAAAACTGGCTGCAAAGCAACAAAATGTGATTATTTAAAGGGGGTTGATTCTTTTCTATACCAACCGTATATGAAGTGATTATTTAAAACGGGGATCTTTAGACATTTCTAGCCAAAGACCCGAAGTAAAAAACCTAGACAAAAGACCCCTGTTTTAAATGGCCACAATGGCTTCACTACTTAGTTCCATTATACCTCTGAAGAATTCATAACATGAAGTAACACAGAAATAAAAGCTGCAAAACATCTAACCAAGGCTTTAACCATAATGTTTTGCATAATCAGGGCTAAAGACTTTGCCAAAACTGCGTGGTGAAATCCATTTTTTCCTTGGACAGATTGTCCTGTCTGATTATGAGCACTCTAAAACCTCTATATAACCTTAGACATGTGACAGGTTTCTAAATATAGCACCGAGAAAAAATAGATTTCCCCCAAATGTCTGGTTTCATTTTTTCATTGGTTGAAGAAGGGGATTATGTATCATTAGAACAGCCATTGAAGCCCTTAGGCCAAGCAAACCAATAGTGACATGTCTCCATCTAAAGGATAGTTTATTTTTCTCTTCTGTTAATGGGACGCTCCCTGATTTGCAAGGCGATGGGCCATTTAGGCAAAAGGTCTTGTCATTCATTCAGCAGTTGTACTATTTGCAAACACACTCTGCAACGATACCAAGAGGGGTCACTCAGAGCGGGCAGTAATATTGTACACAATGATGAGTAGCAAACAAGTAGAGGCAAAGGCTGCTCCTAGAAATAGCTCATGTAAACAAGATGAGAGGAGACAAACTGACGACACCTCCCTGCTGTGAAAAAACAACAACAAAAAAACAAACAAACAGATTAAACCAGTCTTTGCTGGTCTCCCAACCTACTTAGTCCAACAATCTGGCTTGATTTTTCTTCTTTAGTGGCTTACTGACCCTAATTTGCCTATTTAATTGGCGTTTCGCTGTGGATGGCTTCTCTTCTGTTTGAAGTTCTTTGTTGCAAAAGAAGACCTTTTGCAACATTGATACCGTGTCCTTGTCGTCACAGTAAAGTGGTGAAAGGTAATTTACTGTAAGAGTGTGGATGTTCAGAGTTTGCTTAAATTCAAGGCATCATCACAAGATCAATGGTGCTTGCAGTTATTTTTCACACAGTGCACATCACCATGTTGACATCTGTTCTGAGACCACAAAGGACAGCAATGCAAATGTTGCTTAAAGCCTTTTGGAGCGCTCTACTACCATATTATACACTGTAAAAATGAAAAGATACTTGAGGCACCATTTAGGGTTTTTCAGATTTACACACTGGTGGAACTTCTAGGCACCTTATGAAGACGGCTCAAATATTCTACCATGCACTAAGAACTTCAATATATATTTCCTCTATTTCTTTCAAAGACTTTCCCATATGATTTAGGGTTACTGGAGGTACTGTTGTGTTTACAGTTCTTGTAGGAATTTATGGATTCCATTTTGTTCCTCATACCCCTATTCCATAAAAATGGTGCCGTTTTCACATACAGTGGGTACGGAAAGTATTCAGACCCCCTTAAATTTTTCACTCTTTGTTATATTGCAGCCATTTGTTAAAATCATTTAAGTTAATTTTTTTTCCTCATTAATGTACACACAGCACCCCATATTGACAGAAAAACACAGAAATACCCACTGTATATGATATTTGTAAATTATATCATATTTTTAACAATACACTTATTTTAGATAGGAGTTTAAAAGACCTACAAATTTACATAAGCTAATTTTTTCAAGGACCAAATGTTATTTTATTATATATATATATATATATATATGACGAAAAATCATAGTAATCAATTCACATAGCAACTGGAGCAATGTACAGTGCAAAATATTTTATATATGTCTGTCAACTGAATGTGCCGAATCACATAGGCAGTTTCACGGGTTACATTAACATATATCAATAGTCTGATTATTCCCAAAAATCACGATAAGAAATTACTTGGATTAAGATCTTTATGTAAACAGACCAGTGGTTTTCAACCTTTCTGATTCCAATGCCCCCCATTGTCCACAACACCATACAAAGGCCATATGATTTTTCCACTTGTTTGTGATACTGGATATATATATACACGTTTAAGAAAAAAAAAATATTGACCTAAATTCAGTACAAAATGCCCATGGAATCGTTTTAATTTACATGACCTTTTCAGGTCTAGAAATCACACTTTTAAAATTAGGCTTTTTCAAGACAATTATTGAGTGAGAGAATTAAAATAATAATTACCTTGATTTTTAGTTGTTTTGGTTTGCAGAAGTTTGCAGAAGCCCCCTAGTGGGCCCTGGTCGAGAACCACTGATATAGACAAACCTCTTTAATCCATTTACATGCTAATTCTCATTACTTTGATAACCATGTGTGACCGTTTGATCACTATTCACTGTTACACAAACCCACAACACAAATGGTTACATTTAAATGCAGCAGGTTTTAATTTGCCTACTTCCAATGCAAAATGTTTGGTGGTTCTAGGGCAGGGCTGTCCAAACTCGGTCCTGGAGGGCCGGTGTCCTGCAGAGTTTAGCTCCAACCCTAATTAAACACACCTGGGTATTCCCTCATTTTGTCAGGAACATGCCTCAAATGTCTCATTTACAGTATTTCCAACCAACCTAGAATTTGGGTTCTGCCAGTGTGAGGAACCTGAAATGGTTCCTCAAGTCTCTTTTCATTTTTACAGCGTAATTCTGCAAGAGCTTCCAGATGATGTTTACAAATGTTTTTCTAGGCAGCAGTGACCTGAAACACAGCCTTGCCCTAATGCAAAAGCACTAAACTTCCTGCATAACGCGCTGTGGTTACATAAAGGCAGGCACCAGCTGAGCTTACGTTCAGGGGTATCGTGCCCTGAAGTGACACCGTGCTCAAGGGGAGAATGGGAGGAGACGGTGGCGTAGGCTGGCCGGTGTTCGGTTTCACCAGCTCTCACGTGACCGCAATGGCTGCTTGTCTGTTCCGTGCAGTGCATCATCCCTCTACCGCCCAGCGAATGTAGGCTACAGCAGTTTGCTCGCTTCGCTGAACTATCGGTGCGGCCACTTACCACCCGCCGAAGCGAAATTCCTCTACACGTTCAGCCGAACAGCTCACCGGCTGAGAAGAACCACATTTGGGAGAGAAATTAAAGCGTCTCGGGGTTCAACGTCCACCAACCAACACAGCGGTAGGAGGAGTCAACAGGTATTGGCGCTCTCTATTTACGTGACAATACAATCGCTAGGCTGACAGGTAGTCACATTGATAGCGACTTGACAGATGTGGAGCAGTGAATAGCGGCGTGTCTTTCGGCGCTCAGGTGCGCTGTGCTACTTAACTGTAAAGCTGTCCGTTGAGTTTGATCGAAACCGCATACGGGGGATAATAATGACCGGTCTTCGGCAGCTACGTATTAAAATGCGCTGTATTGTTCCCTCACCTGAATGAGCAAATGTGTCAGTGAGAGCTCTTGCAGCAGGTCTTTCGTGAAAAGCGTCGCTGCGCTGCACTAGCTGAGCGTCCTGTATCGACTTGAATTTCGTCGTGCGTCGACTTTATTCAAGCTATGTATTGTTGCTGGCCTTTTAAAATCTTAATCATGTTATGCATTTGATAATATAGGCACATATAACATGTTGAGCGCGATTTAAGTGTGCAGTGCCATGTTAGATCATAATGAATTTAACTGGGTCACAAACAAAAGAAACAAATTCCTCTATATAAGTAATTTCCTGCGTGGATTAACTCGGCTGAAATGGTTTAAGAGCATTTGGGTCAACATGCAATATTAATACTGAGCATACTGAGCACAATGTCAGGGTTCACTTGCCCAAAGCTGCAATTTAAAGTGATAGTTCACCCGAAATTCAAATTAACACAAGAATAGAAAATGTACTCATTGTCATGTTGTTTCAACCCTGTATGACTTTCTTTCCTCTGTGTGTGTGCCTAATAACAGTTCACTTTCATTACAGTGAAAGTGAATGGGGACTGAGACTGTCGTGCTGTCTAATATCTCTTATATTCTTCGGAAGAAAAAAGTCAACATGAGGAGTGAGTAAACGACATAATGTTAATTTTAGAGTGTGCTATCCGTTTAACTGCAACAGTATGAGGATGAAATGAGTCACACTTGAGATGCATTGAAACTATACGGCATATTGTGTAAGAAGCGAGGTGTTTTGGGTTAGTTCTGTTTTCGCAGTTAAATGGGAAGTTCCTCAACCATCTGTCTGCAATAGAAAGAGGAATGGGTATGATATTTGCTTCCACTGCCACTTTCATGCCTGTCGTCTGCAGAGACACATGCCACAAAGCTTGACATTTTGATTTTTCCGCTCATGAAAGCATGTGCATGCTCACCGTATCACCTCCTACGGTGTTTGTCTCAAACCTTCCATCAGGGCTCTCTAATGTTCTTTGTTGTTCCAAAATAGCAGGGAGGGGAACACAAATCAGAGTGCTGTCCTTGTCATTTTTTCAGAAATCTGATTTTTAAAAGACCGTGTTTTCACACTGCTGGATATTACTAGGTGACACGCCTCTCTTTATTTTTCTATTTCTCCCTCCCCTCTCCAGTGGATGGATTTTAGCGTAATCTGTCATTAATCATTTCAAATTGTCCACAGTATTGTAAATTGATGGAGCTGATGATTAAATATGTTGGATCCATGTCTTTAAAGGCTTAGTTCACCCAAAAATTTAAATTGTCATCATTTACTCACCCTCATGTCTTTCCAAACACGTAAGACTTTTGTTCATTTTTGGAACACAAATGAAGATTGTTCATCCATTTGAAGTCTATGTAATCATAATTTTTTTTTAAACTGCGTATGGACATTATAAAAGTAATCTATATGAATTGAGCGGTTCAGTCCAGGTTTTCTGAAAAGACATGATTGCTTTATATAATGAACAGATTTCATTTTAGACTTATTCACTTACACTTTAAGAAAAGTCAGTAAAGTATAGGCCACAATGTACTGCAAATATGAAGGAATTTTCTGTATAGATTTTTCACAGGTGTTTTTCCCATATTTTGAATTATGCGTTGCATTGTGCTGTGTTGTAAAGTTAAAAGAAATATCCATAAACTTAGAATAATAGAGCTTCCATGTACCATATTTGATGTGCTCTATTTATGTGCATTTATCATTGTTTTCTGTACTTTTTTTTTTTTTTTTTAGGTAGACAAGGCTTTTCATGAAATGAAAGATTCTGAATTGCCGGTCAAACTTCTTTATAACGATCCATGTCGGCAAATAAACAATGAGAGATGCTGTTGGGTGTCAGATATGCATAGACAAACACATTTTGATGTTTACAATGAAAAAAGTGAGTTTTTTTTCTACAGTAAAAAAGCTCTTAATATAATCAACCAGAGCAAATCCATAAAACTACTTTTCTTGAGGCTCAAACCTTTCTTGAAATGTGATGTTTCATTGTTAATATGACTCATTACTAAAATGTTTGCATGTGCTCTTTTTCCACATACACATAATGTGTCTGAGTCACTGATACTGATCTTTTTTTTTTTTTTTTTTATCAGAAAACATGCAGCTGCAAATAAATGACTGACCTCCATAATTGTAAAGAAAACAAGGAGGTCATATGACCAAAGGAACAGAAATCTTGCCGTAAACTCCGCATATACAGCACTGAGTAAGAAGGTTCAAAGCTGCAACAACATGTAAAAGCTGACATTAGTTTACTGGAGTTTTTTATTGTTAATTTTCACTGTAGTGTTTTTATACAAAATTTCTAAAAGTAGTCCAGATGATGTTTACTTTGGCATCTTTCTCATTTAGTCTTCTTTCTGGTCACAATTTTTCATCTTTATGGGACTCAGGTAGCTCAGGTATTCAGGTAGCTCACCCTGCTCAGAGTCCTGGCAGACTTGCTTCATTACACCTGCTTCTCTTGTTCCCCAGTTTGTTATGTTGTGGTGGAACAGGTGAGAATGGGATTTGTGTCCTAAAGTGGATTTTTATTAGGGTTTCAGGCATTGTCAGATAAGGACAATAAAAATTGCTGACCTTTCTTGAAATAGGATATTTTCATCGCTCTTTTTTTTCATAGTCTACCTGACTTGCTCTGTCTGTTTGGTAAACAGACAACCTGTCAGCACCCTGCTAGTGGCGTTACTCGCATGTGTATTCTTTACGTGTTCTTTTGTTGGTGTGGACTCAGACTAGATTCAGCATTTTTGCCTTAACCCAAGTTTTTAGGTTGTCTATTGTTTTTCAGTTCTCCTTCAAGTAGTTGTCCCATCTACCCACCTCACTTACATTTAGTCATTTAGCAGACAAGTTTATTCAAAGCGACTTACAATTAAGAAACGACAAGCATTTTATCATACAAGAACCAATAGTATTCATAGTACTGATATGATACCCTACGCAAATAACTTTTTTCCTATTGCCTTAGTAGAAGTCCTCAGTCGCAGCATGTTTTATAAGTAGGAGGAGTGAATCGTGATATAGCTTTAGTTTTTGTTTGTTTGTTTTTAAATATTTTATCTGCAGTGTTTTAATTAGCTAGTTAGAGTTAGCTGTTAGACAGATTGCATGGTAAAACCCTTTAAACCCAGCTCATAAACATGCAGGTGAGCTGTTTATCTGAGCTTTTTGTGCCATAAACGTGTTTTGAAATTAAAAATAGTAAAAAAAAAAATTCCTATGTAAATGTCCCCAAGAGAAGCAGGTGATCCTAGTCAGCTGAGCCTAAAACCAGCCCAATTATTATTCAAGGCCACTTAAAACAGATTAATCAATTAATAATTTGGTCAACCCACCCCAGAGTACAGGTGCATCTCAATAAATTAGAATGTCGTGGAAAAGTTCATTTATTTCAGTAATTCAACTCAAATTGTGAAACTTGTGTATTCTGTACATGATTTTAGATTTTTATAGATTTTTTTCCCACATGCCCTTCTTTCTTACAAGATTGTATCCTGGTAAATGTATAAAAGATGTTATGTCTGCCTTCCCATTTGTATATTTGAAAGAAAAGGCCACCCAGGCTTTGCTCACATGTCTGCAATGTTACTAAAACATCCCCATATGAAAGCAAGACATTAATGACTAAACCTTCAGAAAGAGAAGCAGGAAGTAGGTATGTTTATTTCCCGTCAGTCACAATTTCCTTTGTAAAATATGCTTTTCAGCTAGGCAACGTATCTTTGTTTTGAACACATTGCCTGATGAGTGGCATCACATGCAGCCTTAGGCAATGCAATCCAAGGACAGGCTCGGTTCTAATGACCGGAATGATTTCACGAGAAACATGCGCTCAGTCCGTGACACAGTCGCTTTGTGTTTTTACTTGATATATACCAAAACTTGGCATTTACGACATATAATTGGAATAGGATTGGATGTTTTCCTTTTAGGCATGTCTCTGGTGAGTGTGTCATAGAGGACGGGGAAGCGAGTGACTCTTGCTCATGGGCTGTACAGCGGGAGACAGATGGGAGGAGGTAAATTAAACAAGCTGCTCTGGCCTTCTCTCCTCACTTTGACAGTGTGTCAGCCACGGTGCCGGGTCTCTGTAATTATTTAATGGCCGGCGTTAATGGGCTCTGTCTGCCTGGTTGCCCCCCTGGCTGCCAGGAGAAAGAGAATGAAATTTGAAGGGAAAAGGTGGGCAGGGTTGTGTACTTACTTGACCATGCAGTGTGTGTGTGGATGAGACAGAGTTGTCTTGTTTCTTCTCAGAACATAATGGTTTCTATGCTAGTAGCTGCTGGTAATTTAGGTTATTCTCAAGTCCTGCATGGACCGCTGTCACATAAAGTCACAACAGCTTTGCTGCACCCATTGTTTCTTGCCATCAGTGGTGTATTTATCTCACTCACCCTTAAGCAGTTTTGGTGCAGGGAATGGAAAAACATCTGGATTAGCTCTGTAAACCCCAATAGCACGAAGGGGGAAAGTCATATCCACATCCAGTGCGTTGAATGTTGCTTTGTTAGGGCAAATTTCAGTTGAAAGTGCTCACTCTGAAGAACTGAGCACTGTTTGTGAAGTTCTCAGGGTGAAGGGCATTACTTGTATGTTCATATTTGTCACATTTTAAATAGCAATGTTATGTTCATACATAGCAGTAAAATTCATGTTTAAAAGATTGTTGATCCAAATACCTTTTTTGCAATAAATGAGTTTGTTGCAAACTTGCTGTTGATCTTGCCTAGTGTGTTTTGTAAAAAATCCATTCATCCATCCATCCAGATAAAATGTATATTTCATCTTCAAATTATTTCATCAGTAAAAGAGTAAGAAAAACTGTGTTAGACTATAGCTCGAGCTGCGAGGTTTCTCTGGATAACAGCGCATGTACAGCCGGCTAATGGGAGCTCTGTAAACTGGGTCTTTATAAAAGGTGTTTTATTGTGTATGAACTGGTTTTGAGGACTGCGAACTTGGCATTGCTCAAAGATCTGGTGAGACAGTGTCTGTAGACGGCGTCATATAGGGTTGCGTGGAGTATCTTTGAGAGAGTGATGAAAGGCTGTAAAGGAAAGTTTGTGTGGAAAGGCCTTATATGGAGATAGTCTGGGTGTGTTTTATGCAAATGACTAACCTCGTGCACTATCTGCTCGTTTAGAATACTCCAAATTCACTAACATTAAGACAAGGTTAAAGGGGTCATATGATGCGATTTAAATTTTTCCTTTCTCTTTGGAGTGTTACAAGCTGTTGTGCATAAAGAAGATCTGTAAAGTTGCAAAGACTAAAGTCTCAAATCCAAGAGATAATTCTTTATAAAAGTTAAGAGTCAACCACGCCTACCTAAAACGGCTCGTTCTAACACGCCCCCACATATCTACGTCACGATGTGGGAAGATTTGCATAACGCCGCCCAAATGTTCACGCAAAGAAAGAAGGCATAACTTTTATTCCCACTGTAGTATTATTGTCCGCTGCCACCATGTCGTGAAGGACCTGGGTGCTTCGTTGTGAAAGTGAAACTACTTTGGTCTTCCAAAAGAGGACGATATCCGCTTCGTCATGCCTGGAGCTGATCCGTGCTGGTCGCTGAGGAAATACATCAAC